TAAGTATTTTAAAATAAAATTTATATATTTAAAAATTACGTCACAATAATTAATAATTTAAAATATTTAAAAAATATATAAAATAATTATGGTCAAAGTACAATTCATTTTGGGCTCTGGTCGCCGTCACATAAATCAAGATGGAGCGAGTAGTACTTTATTTTACCGCTGTAGATATCGAATAAACGTTTCTAAATTTTGATTAATCGAGATGGAGAACGAAAAGAATCTCTTTTATTAGTTTTATAGGCACGAATCTGCATTAGTTTGGACTCTACTATGAATATCAAATAATGAGAAACTAAATTCGTTTATTAGAAAATAGTATTATTAATACTCCTAATCAAGATTCAGTGAATTCATAGGGCAACTGCAGTTTCCTTGCCGACGATGAAAGCAACATAACAAAAATTTTACAGTAAATTTAGCAAAAGGACAGTCTCTGAGCTACCATCCACTGGGGCACAGTTTACAATGAGATTTAAAGGGTATAGACTTGTGGTGTAGAGAGATTCTACCCCATTGTTGAGTTGATTCCCATAGCCGTATAGGTCAAGGGTCAAAATGTATTCATTCGTTATAAAAGTCGGGTTATTCTCGAAATTGAATATTATATTATATTATAATATATATCCTCTATAACAACACTTTACCATAGCAGCTAAAAAAATTTGAAACAGACCAAGCTGTTATAGAGAGGTTTGGCTGTACAAATTTAAAAAAAATTGTTATTTCACACTTGTAACAATTTGGACATAAGAATTGTGTAATTTCGGGAAAAAGTGAAAAAAAGTTTCAAATGAAAATGGTATTTGAAAAATAGAGTTGTGTTTGGACATGAATACAATTTGGAGATATATTTGAATTTTTGTGAGTGTTTTGATATGAAAATTTTGAAAAAACAAATCTTTGGAATTTTTCAAATTTTGAAATTTTTTAAAATTCAACTTCAATTGAAATTTAAAATTTTCATGGCCACACATTACTTTTGAAAAAATTTATTTTTCATGGCCAAACGGGCCCTAAGCATGTTACAATCTTCTTTTAGTTATAAGACTTCTGAATTTGTGGTTCTAAATATTTCATAATATTTGAATGTGAGCCTTAGAGCCCGTTTGGATTGGCTTGTTTTAAGTGCTTTTAAGCCATTTTGTAGTGTTTGGATAAAGTAAAAAAGTGCTTTTAAGCACTTGTTTTTAAGCTAAAATGACAAAAACAAACCAAAAGCAAAAAGTTCGAATTCCTAACTTATGGCTTAAAAGTTATTTTGGCTTAAAAGACACTTAAAACAAGCCCATCCAAATAGGCTCTCAGTGCAATGGTATGAATATCACCGAGTTGTCCTTTTATTTATTTATATGGCTATAAAAAAAAATCGTTTAGAATAATTAAAAGGTTTAAATTAAAATTTTTTTAAAAAAAAAAATATATCTTCTTCTAGAATGGACTAAAAATAAAATAAAATGTCGCCATATTACCTTTTAGGCTAAAGAACTGTGGCTGGCCAGCCTGCAAACCCTGCAATATTACCATATCATATCTTGAATGGGGCCTAAGAGAGATTCACGGGACTGGCATTCAATACTTTGTACTTTTCTGCTAGTTATACACAATATATATATATAAAATAACAATCCCAAGACAGCAATTTAAGATTTTCACCTAAGAAGGAAAGGCAAGAAGATGACAGGAAAAACCTGCTTAGGAAATGATAAGCTTTCATGTGATCAACTTTTAATTTACTAGAAAAACTGTCTTGACCTTTACTGGCTTTGCGGGGGTGGTGGTGGGGGGTGGGGGGTGGGGGGTGGTACTGTGCCCACTGGTTTAATGGCACAGAAACAATGGTTAAGACAAAATTGCATAAAAGATGTTTAAAATTAAATTTATATGTACAAAAGTGTACGTTATTTAACATATATACATTATGCAATTTTTTTATATGCACAATATAATTTTGCGATAAAGGGTATTTAATGGATTATCCTTGAGTCTATGTGGCTCCGCCACTACATTGAACAATGCTAACTAATAATTACTTCCTCAATATTAGTTCTAACTCAATATTTTAAAATTAAAATTTAGTTATTCAATACTATACGGAAAGTACTATTATAATTTATAATTTTTCTCATGTCAATATGATAAAAAAATATATTTTTAAATATTGGTCAAACTTCACACAGTTGACTCTCGAAAAGTGAAATGTGTCATCTAAATTTATACGGAGGGAGTATTAATCAAGGTTGAGTTTGCAGTAATTCCTCGTGGCATTTGTAATATTAAACTGATTGGCTTGATATGAGTTTAAATGATGAAACATGATATTCAGCATAGCTGAACTCCGGCTTGTTTGGACTGAGGTATTATTGTTAAATTGTAGTATTAATCTGCATTCATTTTATTTGCTATATATTTGCTACATCACAATAAAACTAGTCGCTCTGTAGATGAATTAACATGGAAATGTCATATTTTTTTCACATGGCAGCCTCCGCCGGTCATAACTGTTAAGTTGATCGTTCAGATGCATTGTGATGCATGTGCTCAGGCATTGCAGAAACGAATTCGGAAAATTCAAGGTATCATATGGTTGTGCATTACTCTAACAAACCTAACTTGTAGGCTGACAGCCAGCGTAAAACAGCCACTCAGGTTAAAATCTCACATTGTAACGAACTTGCAAATGTATTGCAGGAGTTGAATCTGTTACGACAGACCTTGGAAACAATCAAGTTGTAGTAAAAGGCGTTGTCGATCCAGAAAAGTTAGTGAGCGACGTGTACAAGAGAACCGGAAAGCAAGCTATAGTAGTGAAGGAGGAAGAGAAGAAGGAAGAAGAGAAGAAAGAGGAAGAGAAAAAGGAGAAAGAAGAAGAAAAGAAAGGAAATGAACAAGAAGAAAGCAAAGGAGAAGATGATAAAACAACAACAGACATCAAGAAAAATGAATATTTGCATCCAAAGGATTATATCTATATGGAGTATGCTAATTATCCCCCTCAGATTTTCAGTGATGAAAATCCTCATGCTTGCTCTCTCATGTAACCTTTTCGGTTACTCTTCATCAGTGGCGAAGTCAGAAAGCCTGACAACGAGATCCAAAAAAATCGAAAAATGCTACACCTAAGATTTGAAACCCCCACCCCACCCCCCCACCCCCACACGTTGCTACTCTTCATGTCCAATTTTCCATATGCTCTAGTCTAGTGTTATATATGCTAGTAATAAAGATTTGGCAGTTTGAGAGATTTATCTCTTTATCATTTTTAATAATTCATAGTTTTGGTGCTAAGCTGTAAGGCAAGATGTATATACTAAAAAAAGTTCAAACTTTTGAGCTTAATCAGAAGATGATTATGGTGTTAATGTTTAGACCTACCCATTTGAAAGTTTTTTTCAGAATTTGCATATCTGTTTTTGTTTTCAGAGTCAAGTGGAAGGGACTATAAGTGAAGCTATGTGGTGCATAGCCACTTATGATGTAGTTATGGATCTTCAAAATGATCTTATTAGTGACAAAGAGGAAAAGGTCAGGTTTTGATGATTGATGATTTGCTTCTATTTTAGTGTAATCATATTTTGAACCATCCTTTAGACAGAGCCTTTCGGAAACAACCTCTCTACCTATACAAGGTAGGGATAACGTTTGCATACACATTACCCTCTCCAACCTCACTTGTATAAATATACTAGATATGTTTTTATTGTTGCTTTAGGCAGAGTTTTGCTACTATAAGTACAAGGCTTTTGTCACAAAGGTGTTCAGTAATTTAAGTCAGCAAGTATAGAGTACTCCTTTGAAACAACCGTTCTAGCTTTAAGACAGGGATAAGGTCTGCGTACACACTATCTCTCTCCAAACGTCATTTATAGGATTACACTGAATTTTTATTGTTGTTGTTGAGTATAGAGTACTCCTTAAAGTCGAAATAAAGATAGAGTTTAGCAAAATGGACAGCTAAATATATGCATATGTATTATGCAATATGTCGTATCGAAGGGAGTGATGTACCTGCACCCCCTTTGTTGCTTTTGTCAACATTTTCAAGTTGCAGAAATGTGTCTCACTACCCAATGGAAAATGTCCCCACATTTCCACAAATCCAGAGTCCAAATCTATCAGTTTCAGCTTGAAAGTGAAAAAGGATAAAAGATGCCCTCCGTGGTCCATTCAGGTCAACTGACACCCTTCACCGAAAAATTACGTTACGTAAGTAGGTTAAGTTTAGTGTATTTATATACTATATGTGGGTTCTAAATCTTAAAAGGATGACTTCAAGTGCTAATAGTTTGATTTAAATTTAATATTTGTACATGTTTCATGAATTTTAACACAAATATACTATTTCAGCAAAAACTATTAGGTTCAGCAGAGCCGTTACGGCTTCTAGCTCTGTCCTGATCCCTTTGACGCTGTGTATTTTCAGCCTTGGGTTTTCCCTCTTCCTCTGGTAGCTATGAACCACAAGCCTGACTTCTAACAATCCGTGTAGCTAATATTTAAGTTGCAACAACGACGACGATCTAGTAAAATCCTACAAGTGGAGTCTGAGGAGGGTAGTATATACGCAGACCTTACCTCTATCCGAAGAAGTAGAGATGCTATTTCCGACAGACCCTCAACTCAAGAGGACGAAAAGAGACAACTAATGTTTAAGTTGCAAGTCATTTTTTTAAATAACTATGTTTCAGGGCTAGCTTGTGCCCACCTCGACTAATTTCATGAGTACTTGCCACCTCCCACTAGCACAAGTACCAAGTAAATTTGTTCATCAAGATTTGAACAGATGCGAAGGAATCACCTAATGTTTTTGTCTCTGCTAGGATTTGAACCTAAAACCTCATGGTTCTCAACCCACTTCACTGACCACTAGGCCACACCCTTTGTTGCTTTAAGTTGCAAGTTATTGTATTTTCCAAATAAACTCTTAAAATAAAAGCAGTCTAGATGTGACTAATTTGGCAAAATGGTTTTCCTATTTTCCAAATAGAAGAAACTAGGAAGGAACAAAATACTAGGGGGTGATATTTAACATTTCTTTGTCATGTCTTTACTCATGTATGCTTTATGAGCATATCACAAGAACTGTATACTGCAAACTGAGCATATAATACAGACATACAGTAGAAATAATGAAAGTAAAATGAGCCTTTCCTCAGCTTTAATAGATACATGCCAAGGAGAAAACAATACAAAAAATGTTAAAAAGATCATTCTTCGTCGGATTCAAGGCCTGGTATGTACTCCAAACTCACGTCGAATATCACTGGGCTATTAGGAGCCACTCTTGGCCTTCCAGGAGCCGATGTCAGACCTTTTGGAAACGCCAACTACTCAACAGAAATACAAGAGACTTAGGCTGTAGTAGAACTTCATTATTCTGGACTATTTCAAGCCAATTGCCAAGAATACAGTAAGAAGTGAGAGTAAAAGAGAGAGGGTTGTAAGCTATGGACAAAAATACAGTAACAGATACGTATTATTTTTCTTTCTGTATGCAAAATGTAATTATCTTTTAACTCTGCTTATTGGTTTGATAATTATCTTTTTCACATTTGCACAATGTAATTTTCATGCTGACCGAATTTTGGGTGCACGATGGGTGGGGAGCTTATTATCTACTCGAAGAATCAGACTTGCTGTCTGTAGAATGAGAAATTCAAAACGCAGAGAACTTACAGATCCAGGTATGTAGAGTCGACGTTTTCCTCCCACTTTCATGCTCAGGATCCCTTCGTCAAGTCCTTTGATTACCTACTCTAGCCATTGAAATTAGTCATGTATGAACTACCAAAGTATGAGACTTAATTCATTTAACCAAAATATAGAGCACTAGTATTACATAAAATTTAAAGCTTGAAATCCATCTTGCGCAGAGTATTTAATTTGGAATATATCAACAATAGCAACAAACCGAGTGGAATCCCACAAATGGGGTCTGGGGAGGGTAATGTGTACGCAGACCTTACCCCTACCTTGTGAAGGTAGAGACGTTGTTTCCGATGGACAGCCCTAGTAATTCGGACTACTATCATTCTTTAGAAATAAAATTGTTAGGTGAACCAATTGTTATGTTTTTCCAATTAAATGACTGTCTCTATTTTCAGGAAAAGTGTAGCTGCTGGACACAAAAAGCTGAAGTTCAGTACCTTCTAGACAACTTCAGCAGAAGTTAAAATACCAAAAGAGCTAACAGTTGTAGCTGGAAGAACAGTTGCTACTAAACAAAGTTTACATAATTTTTAAGGTACTCTTCACCTCCTATTACTGTTACTGCAGTCGTGAAATCATAAATTTTCATAAACATTTACTAAATATTACCTGGCCAGCACCCACACGGAAAATGTAAAGTTGACCTTTCTCCAAGGAGCTGTTAATTCAAAAATCAAGCTATGTTGTCAGAGTTACATTTTTGGAGAAATTCAGAATCATAGATCTTATCTATCCTGAATGCAACAACAACAATAACCCAGTGTATTCCCACAAGTGAGGTTTGGGGAGGGTAAGATGTATGCAGCCTTACCCCTACCCTAGAAGGGCACAGAGGCGGTTTTCAATAAACCCTCAGCTAAAGAATCTATCCTAAATGCAGAATATGAATTAAGCGTGTTTTGAAGGAAAGGAGAAAAAGACTTCTAAGAAGAGAAATCGAAGTTACTTTTATAATGTATGACATCACGAGAAAAGGACAAGAATAACTTCTCAAATTTTTCTCCATCATGTTCAAATAAGGACCAAACTTAAAGGAGATACTATAAGGAAAAGAAACCTTCCCTTTCTCTCTTTTCTCCTGGAAGCTATTTATTAATTTTAGTCCTTAAGTTTTTCTTCTGGGGATCTTTACTACGCTATTTCGCTGCCTAACAGTGCAATATGTGCCTCCTTATAACTATGGCATGATGCATGAGCACATACAATCATCTGGCGTCACAACATCATCACCTTATTATGAAAAAGCATAACCATTCATATGCTTCACTGGAAACAATTTCCAGATGTCCAAAAAAGTTGAAAGCATGTATATAATTTTGTAAAATGATCAGCAACCAATCAAAATAGGTGTAATGTAATAACCTGTCAAAAATTTGTCCCGAGGGAACCATGGCAACACAATTTGCAGCCACCTGTTATCATGAAACAAAACTTGACCTCATCAAAATAATCAATAGAATAAATTCTTGAATGGAACTTACATGAATGAAGGAGCCAGATATCTTTTGTTCCATACGTGATAATTCCCTCCCTCCCTCCCTCCCTCCCTCCCTCCCTCTCTCTTTTCTCAATTCTTGGCATGCTCTTTTTCATCAATGCTCTTCAAGTTATTCGATAAAGGACAACTTCGTCATTTGAGAAAATGAAGCTGCATAATGTAACTAGCTTTACCATTAATCACAAAATGACTAAGATAACCAGCTAGTTTAGTGAATAATCCCTCTTTCACTTTTACATAAGAATCCAAGTAGCAGACATCAGGATAGATACCTGGAAACCAACAGGGGGACTAGGGCCTCCACCAACTTTGATGTCCTTGTACTGCAAGCCTGACTCGGTTGTTACCATAGGAACCTTCACTTATAAAAAGAATCTACCATTAGTGGGATTATCCTCAAGTTTCTGAGAACAAAGGATATTGTTCACTAATCTTTTGATTCACGCAACCTATGACTATACATATCCTTCAGAAATCAAAGATAGCCTCCTAAGTTGATGGATTCCAACTAGAAACAATATATCTCCGAGAAAGATGATGGTAATGAAGCTATCTCGGTTCCATTGGTAGACCATTTTGCATTAGTTTGGCAGGTGGAAAGCACTAAATGTGTAAGTAAAAGCAATGCATCAAATCGAATTTATGGTAAATTAGGGCGTATTCAGCCATGATTCATGAGTAAGCTCAATTTTAAATCTAAGCATAACATCAACTCTACTTATATTTCAGGTCAACACATCATGCCTTTGTTAAATTGTATACCTAGTCAATTTAAGGATAATTTGCCAGAAAGGTGGCTGTTGGTAGTCTGTTCAGATTTAAGGGCGCAAATTCCTGGAAGGGAAATGTAGAAGGGATTTGCCACAGAAAAACATGTTTCCTTTGGTGTTGTTCAGAACTAGTATTACCAAATAAACTGGTGTTAGGGAAATTGAATCCAGACTAGCACTGGCAAACACCAGGATTTAATAGCAGATAAACATATTCAAATTAGCAAAAGTCAAATATTAACTATTAAGAGAGATGATATTTTCAGTTACATTTGTAATTTCCTTTAAAATATTCTTTGTTTATTTGTTCAAATCCGTCCTCAATTAGATTACACACTTTCCATTTTATGACATCTCAAAGTATTTGACATCATTCTGCTCATAATATTATCTTATACAATCTTCACAACTTTCAACATTTCCAAGTCATTTAACTGTTCAAGTAAATTTATTAATCATTGGTTTAGTTCAAACTTCCTTCCTGCATGTGCTATATAAAAGTATATTTTAAGAAATTAACATCTTAAATCACTCATTCCCTCAAATACCATTATATAAGTATGATGGAACTCGGGAGGAGTAGAAAATTGACAACCACTACTCCTCTGTAGCAAATTATGTATTAATATATTCTTATTATTTCAAAATGAATAACATATATGATGGAACCTGGGAGGAGTAGAAAATCGACCACAACCACTACTCCTCCATTGTATAATATGTATTACTATTTTCTTATTAGTCCGTTTCAAAATGAATAACATATAAGTTATGATGGAACTCGGGAGGAGTAGAAAATTGACCACAACCGCTACTCCTCCATTGTATATTATGTATTACTATTTTGTTTCAAAATGAATAACACATCTCTATATATAGAAATAATTTAACTTTGAACTTCTCATTTTAGCCTTAATAATATACTTTTATAACCACATAAATCCCATGACACGTTTAAGACCAAAATTTTCAGAAATCTTTCTTTCTTTCTTAATCCCCGTTAGCAATCAAACTACACCACATAAATTGAAACAAAGGGAGTAAAAAAATGAAAATGAAGTAAGAGTAGAAATGAGAGGGAGATAAATAACCTCACCATACATTTTCAAGCTCTTTCTCACATGTAGCATCACACAATTTTGGTTTTTCCTCTGGTGGCAAACCAGCTGCCTCTGCATTAGAACCCACCAAGAAACTAGAAACACCAGAAAACCCCATCCCAATTAATAAGTCTCTGCGCTTAGTTAAGTTGTACCCTTCTGCATCTTCAACAGTACCCATCGAAGCTTGCGCCCACTTTCTCGCCACCCCACTTTGAATTTGGGTGCTTCCGATTGTTTGATAACGATTCTTGGACGAACTTTTAGAAAAGACTGAACCTTTATATACAAGAACATAATAGCATAATGAGGGTAAAAAACTGCAAATAGCTACAGAATTGAAGTTGAAAAGAAAGCAAAATTAATATTATGAAGTTTTTATGAAGCTTACCGAGTGGAAGTAGAAGAGATGTTGAGGCCATAGTTGTTGTGATAATCCTAACAAATGAGTGAGTGTGGATAACGAAATAAAAGGGAGAAAATGACAAAAATGGTGCCTTACATTAAGTGGATTTAAAATAATCCTGTAAATATACTCTGCCCGATTTTGATCCTATAAATTTGTTAAAGTTGAACACTTTTAGTCCTGTTTAACATTTACCCAACAATGCCATTATGGCACTTGGGTTTATCGACAGTTGTGGAAACAAAACCAAAAACACCAGAAAATTTCATGAAATCCCGAAACATATACAATATCTGGAAATGGAGTTTTTAACCAATATTGTTCCTTATCTTTGAGGTAGATCTATTTTTGTCCCTCAAATATAATTCTGACCATATTTAATCCCTTAAGTATGCTAAAGTAGAACACCTTTAATCTCAGTGACAGAATATGTTCAAAAAACTAACGGTGTTACCCAATCTTTCGCTACGAAACAAAACATTTCCTCTCCTTTTATTGGGTAACGCAAATTATCACTTTAATTCCTCATTTTTAGGTAATGTTTTCTAAAATTTTGACACTGGAAATATCGCCTTCTGCACCAGTTTCCAATCTGGTTATTCGTTTGCTTCAATAATATGCCTAGAATTGATCCTAGTAGCTCTATTTTTTCAAATTTCAACTTTTCTTTTTGAAAAATCAACTGAATTTTAAATTAAAAGTTTTAACTTTAAATTGTCAAATTTATGCCAAAACCAACCCCGTAATTGATCTCGGAATTAGTTTTGATTTCTACATTTTAAAAATTAATTTTGATCTCCATATGTCAAAACTGAATTTGTGTTTGCTCACCGATGTGATTGCAGTTCGAAACTACGATTTTGTAGTTTTACTCTTTTGCTTTCTCTATGTGAGACATTTTTAAGGACTTTTGGAAAATATATATAAAAAGGCAGAACTAAACACAGTTTCTTAGAAATTGGTCAAAAATCGGGGAAGATTATTTTCCAAATAAAACAAATATGGCAACATTTGCTTGTCCTGTTGAGCTTTAAATTATTGCTCCGAGAGTGAGACACAATCCTCTTTTTTTTCATTTTGGAGAACAATGGAAGGAAAAGCTTTTCTTCAAGCAAGTAGGGATATTCAAGAAGCTCTTTTTCGTGCATGATTTAGGAAATGGGAATGGCTACTGTTGGTTTTCTTCTTACCATGTCACATGAGTAATACAAGGTAGTGCTGTTAATTTTTGGACAGATTTTATCACTGAGGCTAAAGATGCTCTACGTTGGCATATTTAAGGGAGTCCGAAACCTAAATGACAACTTTTTTGACTCAAAACACATTTCTACGGTTTAAAAAAAAAAGTTACTTTTCTACCTAAAACGCAATATTATATTGTGCTTTACTTTAACGGAATTTTAGCCGTTAAAGTAAAACGCAGTATTCTTGCCTCTCTCTGTTGATTTGTGGGTTATGGCGGAACGACTTTGAACCCTAAACTGCTCGTTTTAGCACATTTCTTCACTTGGGTCTTGCTTTTTTCCCTGGTTGGATTGTGTATTTCTAAACAATGGCAACTGTTGTGCATTTTAGCAGCTGTGAGAGGAGGAGGAGAGGAGCAGTTAGAGTAGCTTTGTGTTGGAAAAATATTTTCAAAAAATTCAGCATTTTTTGTTTCAACAATAGTATTATTTTCAAGTACATCATTTTTGACTACTAAAAATTTGTATGCTGCACTGTTTTCAGCATACCCAATAAACATACAATCAGATGTTTTAGATCCTATTTTTCTTTTCTTAGGATCAGGCAACATAACTTTGGCAAAGTAAGTTTCGTCAATTTTTTCTGTGGGAGAGATTCGTCATTAACCCACTTTTTTCTATTAGAAGTACCACTTTTCAATATAATTCTTAATTAACGATAAGAATCAAAAGTTTTTGAGAGCTTTAAGAAAAAAAAGTGATTCCTTAAATAAATATAATTTTGTACCTCTGGTTGAATTATATAACTATACAAATCTACACTTACGTAGGCTTAGGCACATTCAAATACTAGAAAAAAGCATACCTTAATGTTTGTTGTGCATTTTGTCCTCCACAATGCAACAATGTATAAAATTGAAGCAGCAACTTGCGAAAAGTGTATTCCAAAGTAGAACCAGGAAAAAAAACATACAATAATATTATTTAATCACATCGTCTAGTACTCTCGAGATTCTAGAATTGATGGAGAATGCTTATGTTTCTTTCGTGTTGGCCAGTTTGAGTAGCATGTAACGACCATTAGAATTGATATTCTCCATAAACACAGTGCGAAAATATCCTTAAGATTGTTGGAAAAATATTTTGCTTTTGGGTAAAACCTTTTGCAACTAGTCTAGCTTTGTATTTATCAATGGAACCATCCGGATTGAATTTCTTCTTAAAAATCCATTTACAACCAATAGGTTTAGCTCCCGGAGGTAAATCAACTAAAATTCAAGTTTTATTTTGTAAAATTGAATTTAATTCTACATCAATAGCTTCTTTCCAAAATGAGGTATCAGACGAAGAAATAGCTTTAGGATACGTTAACGGATCATTATCCACAAGATAAATATAAAAATTATTACCAAAAGATTTTTCTTTCCTTGGTCTTTTGCTTCTTCTTAAATCCTCACTTTCAAAATCATTTTGAATAATTGGAACATGTGAAATATTATCACTTGGAATAATAAATTACATGTGTATTGGTCCATACAATAATCTTCGAGGTGAAGCTATATATTAGCTTGTTATTTATAAAGTAGAACTCTTTGTGAGTTGTGAAAAAGTTATCTACTTAACCTGAAATTTTTGAAAATGTAGGGGACCATGGTGTCCAGAGTTATATAGCATGATCTTAAGAAGGAAAAATGTGAGGAAAAAAATTATTTATTAATGTTATAATAAAGGTTACAAATTTGAGATTTTTTGTGGCAAAAATTTGTATTGGAAGATCAAAAACAAGTTGTATGTCTGGCTTTGAAAAGTTATGCTGCTTCAGGTCTCTTAGTCATTTGGGTGAAGAAATCGTTGAATTAAGACCCCTTTCTTACTAGATATTTCTGTAGAAGTTAAAGTTGCTTCTATATTTAGAAAATTTTACTTTGGTACTTGACTATGGAAGATACAAAAAGAAAATAAACTTTGATGTGTTGAAAGATGTTTCAAAAGGCACTTGTACAAAAGTTAAGTTTTATTTAATTTTATGTCTTACTTGAGAAATACTATGAGTTAGTATTTTGTATGTGAACTTCCACTGTATTAGAAAGATACAATGATGATATGAATCTTAGATTCAGATGAGAAAAACTCAATAGTGATTGTGTGTTCACCTTTTGGTGGGAGTTGTGGTATTGAAATTGTATGGAAGTGAGGTTGATTAAGAAACCTCTTGATGAGTTAAACCGATAATAATTATGTTGATGAATTGTGATTGCCAAGACGCAATAACCATTGTAATCTTTCAATGGGAAGAGTAGACACATTTTATTAAGATATAATGTCATAAAGCAATTGCTTAGAGATGAGAATTTTTATACATATTATGTGTAGTTAAAAAAGGATTTGGCCGATCCTTTGACTTATAAGTGAAACATCGAGGGGTTGAGACTTTTGCCAATTTGAGATGTATCAACAATGATGGTAACCCAACCTATGTGATTGGAGATCCCATGAAGTAGGTTCATATGGGTAATAACAAGTCATTAGTTGATCAAATATGCACTATTAAATTATGTCTCTTCCTACGGTGTGTGCGTATATAGTGCAAGAGTGCAAGGAATGTGAGGTTGAGTTATTAAACTCTTAATCCAATAATCCATAGCCTATTGTAGGTGGTGTATTGTGCTGCAGAATACACTTGATGGATGGACCTATATGAGTGTGGAGTGGGGCCGCTCCTATGAAATTTTTGGCAAAAATTTCTAGAGCTAGCACTCATGAAAACCAGGCACGCGCATGGCCTATTAGCACAAAACCGCGATAACAGCAGAAATTGTGGGGGTGTAATATGATGAATAAGATCCCTAGCTTACAACAAGAGTTTTTGGTTCATAGAAGTTATTAACTTCACCAATTACTCTGTAAGTTAAATCTTATTTTATATATATCTGGTTCATAGTCTATAAGACACCAGATGAATTTCATTATACCTGAAACCCAGCAAATTATACTCTCTCTCTTTATTTATTACCTTTTGAGATATGTGGGGGATTGTTAGAAACTTAGTGGTATCTCAAAAGATTATGTCCATTATATCTTTGACACGCCTCAAGCTAAACCTTTTATTCTCCATAATCATCCAATATTTTTCCAACACTTTGTTCTTGCTTTATTTCTGTGGTTCTCTAATCTCGCTATCTTGCGCCGCCAGGCTATCATCAGTCGCCAGACAGAAGCTTGAGGTAGAGAAAAACTTGAAAAGGCTCAATAAACCTCCCATTAATTAAGTTACTAAAAAAACCTACCATTAAAAGCATTCAGGTAAATCCTTACATTTGCTAAGTTGAAAAGCTCACTATTATCTTGTATAGGATAAAAAAATTCTTCTTCTAGTTTGGTTTTGAGATTTGAGTTATATTTCGTAGCTACAGAAAAGTAATGTGCACTAGTAAAAGAAGAATAGTAGTACTCCGTATTATTTTTTTGAGTATTGTTTTTTTCCTTTTTTGTTTCAGTTTTGTACCTTATTTCCTCAGCTAATAATTTGTTAGTAGATTTATTTGTCTTGACTATTTTCTTTACACTTTTTTTCTTACTCCCCCCCCCCCCCCCCCCCCTCTTCTTTTGGGAATGCTGGACTCGGGCTAGAGTTGTCTTATTTTTCTGTAAAAATAGTACGGTCTAGCCAGCTTTCGGACTGGTCATTCAAAAATATCCAGCGTTTACCAAATCAATGAAAAATAGCCACTATTTTGCTGCAACAGAGATCGATCCAGCATAATATACTGGAGTTCGGTGCACCTGTGTATGAACTTCCAGCATATTATGCTGGAACTCCAATACACGGAAAGTTCCAGCATAATATACTGGAGATTCGATCACTTGTGTATTAACTTTCAGCATATTATACTGGATCGGTATACTTTGCTG